AGACATGGTGTTGAGGAAAGTCTGAAAAACAAGAGACAATCATAGATGCTAGTATTATTCCCTTTTTTTATCATGGGAATTTAAGTATGTTTTCCGACACCATCAATCTCAAAATCAAATCAAATAAGTGCAGGCAGATACGAGTACATTGGGGAATGGTTGATGGATTATTAATATTAAGATTTTGCAGGTTTACGTCGTTATTCGTTTGTAAATCAAATCGTAATACTTACTTACATCATGATAAGGTTGATCTGGCAAAATCAATTTATTCTGACTAGTGTTTTTATTTGCCGACATTTCTTGACTTATTTATTATTTTACTAATATTTTAAAGTTTATATTATTTTTTATATTGTCACGAGGATAAGTAGAAATTCGATTTTCGTACGATGGAAAAATATCTTTCAATAACAGAACCAGTTCTGAACACTACAATATACACAAAACACACAGGCACAAAACATTCTCTGTCGAAGAATGAAATTAACGATTGGCTTTCCATGTTATCAATGAATCACTAAACTTTATTTCAATATTCTGCCACCTAAACAACAAAACCGTCGCTTCAATTACCCTGACTATGCTATTATAGTGGGGCTACATATTTGCATGTCCAGTGTAACTAGGACTGAACCGCGATACCTAGGGCCAGAGCACGTGAACGCCAGACCTTCGTTATTTTATAAAAGCTGAAAGTTTATCAGCGCATGCTCCCAACACAGGCAAGAACGATGGACTATCATGAAGTTAGAATTATCGTGGCTTTGGTAGCTACCTAAAAATGCTTGTCAGGCGAGAGGTTGTAACGGTTATACAGGGTGGAAACGATAAGTGATCTCACTCGATTATTTCTAAACTATACAAGATATCAAAAAACTAGTTACTGATCCTGAAAGTGCTTCATGAGCTCTATCAAATGGTATTAATAATAGGTTTCTGAATAAACTGGTTCTATCCGAAAATTCAATGTTTCCAGCTTCCATACATTTGGTAAAGTCACATTATTTTAAAAACTACACATGATATCGTAAAACTAATTACTGATTCTAAAAGTGCTTTACAAGCTCTATCCAATGGTATCAATATTAGGTTACAGAATAAACGGGATCTATCAAAAAATTCAATGTTCCCGTCTTCCATACATTTAGTACTACCACAGTCATGACACTCATCTCTTGACAATATTATAGCAAGTAAAGCCTAAAACTAATGTTTTCCATGAATAATTTTAAAGAAGAATACAATTTACGAGTTTATTTTAAGAGTTTATTATTCAATAAAAAAACACACTTCCAATATTGTGTGTCTGGCATACATTTAGTATGGAAGCTGGAAACATTGAATTTTCAGATAGATCCAGTTTATTCTGTAACCTATTATTGGTACCGTTTGAAAGAGCTCATGAAGCACTTTCAGGATCAGTAACCAGTTTTTCAATATCTTGTATAGTTTAGAAATAATCGAGTGAGATCACTTAACGTTTCCACCCTGTAGATCGTTTCATCCTCGAAGAGGCGCCCCACCATTCTTCCGCTAATGTGTGTAACTCAAAGTGTTATCGGTACACGCTAAATTATACATGAGTACACACGCACACTACAAGAATGACGCTCGAATTGCTCGGATCAAACTCCCCGCACCCCGCGCTTCCCTCGACTAAAAATTGGTGGGGCGCGTCGTGGCACACCTGATATTAAATGAGATGCAGAGAGGATGGTACATACCTGCCCTGTAAGTGCCTATTCACTCTCTCACCTTAGAAAGGCTCGGATTACAGTATTTGGGAAAGACAGCAGCATGCAGCGAATTCCAAATATCTATCAAATATTTTTAAAGGTAGCTGTTGTATAAAAATACAGCTCAATTATACCTGGTCAGTCCTGCTCAGCAAAGATCACGCGATTCAACAATCAATTGCATTCGGTGCAAACAAACAACTTATTGTAAAACGAATCGTGCCCACTTATAAACAAATAGGTGTATTGGAGTAAAAAATATCATGTGGACGTATTTGCCTAAGTACTCGTATTTATAAAACAGATTTTTTGTTGCAACATTCCCTATATCAGGTAAAGTACCTTCTACTTTAAAAAACGCTTTTTCTTTTAATTTTTTTTTTTCAAACGAGGAAGCTCTTGGCCTGTATCTCACCTGATGGTAAGTGATGATCAGGCCGAAGGTGGAAGCGAGCTTCACCCGTGTACTTACCATGAGTTTACGTTAGGTGTGCTCGCTAGCGAGTACGTCAAAAATCTCTATGAAGATTTTGTTTCTTGAAATTAGCCGCTAGGGGCGCTGCACAATATGTCATACATTTAAATATCATTTTTTTACGCAGTCGCTAGCGAGCACACCTAACGTAAACTCATGGTAAGCACACCGGAATCCTCAACCACGGAGGAACTGGCTATCCTACCTCTAACTACCGGAACACAACAATGATGTTAAAATTGTTGTTATGTCGACAGACTTAGGTAAGATGGTGGTAGCTAGCCAGGCGGACTTAGAACAAGCCCTACCACCAACCAAACCGAACAGAAAAATCTGCCCCCACTGGGAATCGAACCCGGGACCTCTGCGTATGAAGCAGGTGGTCTTACCACTAGACCACAGAGGCGGTTAATTTTCTTTTATAAACCTTTTTTTCTTTTCTGAGAAATGGTTTACATGCGATCAAAGAAAACTAAAAAGAGATCGGTAGGTATTTTGTAATTGCTTTTTGTTTAGCGGACTCGACCTCTTTGTGCGCTTAACATTTGCTAACTCAGTCTACTTGACTGATCGGGAAACCACATATCGCTAAATTAAAAAAGTTCTACATTCCTGTGTATGTTTCACTGAAAAAAGGGCATCCAAGTATTTGTAGGGATCCTTTGACTATAAGAATTTGTAAACTTTAAGGCTAAGTTGCACCACCTAACTTTAACAGTGACTTAACGATAACCAGTGTTTTTTGTATGGAGTCTGACAGATTTTTAAAGTTTGTTAAAGTTAGATGGTGTAACCCAGCCTGAGTTAGCTAGGAAAGTTCATACTTCTGTAGTCACCATAAGTGACGAATTCATAAGAAAACCATTAAAGACCACACTTATCATTAAGTAATGCAGTTTCACTACAGAAGCAAGACCATCTCTACCTTACCAGGGGCAAATGGAAGATTTGGTCTGCACTACCTACCCACGCACCACGCAATAACGCTAAATGGGTTGAGGAAGCTTGATGTTTGTATATTTGTTTATAAGTCGACTTTTAAGGACATGAGAAGGGTGATCATCTTCTACACTGTCGGAACTAGATTTAAATGCCTTTTTATTTTTACAAGCTTTTATTTACTATCACGTCATGTCTGGAGTAGGCAAATCTTGCGACTGAAAATTGACCCACTTCCCGGTTTCCAATTGAGCTGAAATTTTGCATGGATATGTAAGTCGGATGACAATGCAATATTATGATGACATGGAGCTGATCTGATGATGGAGCTGGAAGGTAGCCATAGGAGCTCTGCAATAAAATGGCATGTGCCTTTTGAGTTTAAACTCGTTTCATTGTTTTTAGCTCATTAAAATCTTGTTTGGAAAAATATTTTTTTTTCATTATTTTTTCCCTTTACAAAGCTCATTTTCCACCAGCAAAGAGAAACGAACTAGGGTATGACTCGGCTAGACGTAGCGGTTTTCGTGTACATAACATAGGATAATTCCTTTCCACTGAGAAAGAAATCGGGAGTATTACCTACATATTTTTACTCTTTTTGCCCTCTTTGTCATGCTTTATGCACGGTGGAAAACCAGCTTCACAATGGTTTGCATCTTTTTTTCATTTGTGTCACCCACCTATGCGACAAGCATACATTTTAAATTATCTTTCAGTATAGGCAAGACGTGCAAGCCAAGTGCCAAATACAGGCGCATTGCAGTGCTTTCGATTCCACGTTATAAGAATTTGCAACCGGCGTCTAATTTTACGTCCATTTTATGACTCATAAAATTGGTATCAAACACGCTGTCTATAATTTGATATTTTCATAAAAATTACGAAGGGTAATCCACTGGCCAAGTTTAAGCTGCTTAACGCTACTTTTCGAGGACTTCTTATACTTACACCATGCGGAACTGTGCTCGTGATGCCAACTGGATACGAGGTTCGAAGGGTAAATTGCATTCTGTTGACTTCATCATCATCAGACATGAGTCTGATCATCAATTATTCAGCCATAGGACATCCACTGAACATAAGTCTCCCTCAATGATTAAGCTTACATATTGACAAGTGGGTAGCGGCCTGAATCCAGCGCCTTCCTACTACTTTTATGAGGTAGTCGATCCACTTTGCGGGTGGATGTCCTATGCTGCGCTTTTCGGTACGTGTGGCTTCCAGAATCTTGCTGCCCCATTGGCATCTTTAGATGATACTATAAAAATTAAAACAGCACGATTGATGTGCTGAACATAGACCTTATTAGGTAAAAAATGAAAACAATTATTGGAAAATAATGTTTATTCTACCTTAACACATTCATACATACACGAAATCACATTAAAATTAAACATGATTGATCAGCTAGTTCTAACATTTTCAAGGCAAAACATTGCTTTGAATATGTATAAATGACGANAATGACGTGGTTTGGGGTAGGAAGGAACACAGGACTTATAATGCGTGCGCGATGGCGATGGCGATCAGTGGAAATCAGTATTTCCACTGATCGCCATTGCCATCGGGCACGGGAATGTAACACAAGCAGTGTGTGATTGAAACTTTAAAATTATTTTATCTATCGAATAAAAAGGATGGTGTCTCTACCCTACAAGATATGCATACTGATGTATATCAATAACCAAATACGAGTACAATTTGAGATAATTTCGCTTGACATCATTTTCCAAAGTACATCGAACAGAATAAATAATGTCTAAACTCCCTTATTTGAAAATGACACACGGTATTTAATTTGATGTCAAATAAAGGAGTGCTCAACTCATGATAAAGAGTTATTAAGTAAACACTTAAATAACGATGTCATACATGAAACAATGTCTTCAGAAATAGACATTATCTACAGTAAAACTAATTATTGTGCCCTTGAAAAAACTAATCACAAAGTTAAACATAATACTGTACCAAATCCTGATGTATGTATGTCCTTCCACAGTTATAAAACTATTAAGTAGAACACTTTAATATCGAACATTGTAGTCGCCAAGAGCCGTCTCCATCAGGACAGTTTCTGTGGAATCCTGGGTATTAGGAGATGTCGTTGGCATCGCTGAAGGTCTTAAGGATATAGCGAGGGGTAGAGCCGACCTGGCACAGAGTTGAGACGCCCCACGCGTGGAGTTAACTGATCTGTACCTTGTACACCTGCCGCGTCTGAAAAAAATAGAATTATTTAAGTATTTTGTACAGTTACAGAAGGATAGGGAAGTATTTTCTACAGTTGCAGTAAGTTTCTCTGCAGGCACAGATCTAAGGGGTGGGCAAGCCGGGGTGCCTCCCCTGGGCGACCGTCTAAGGGGGACGCCAAATCGAAATAAGGGTATGTTGGTTTTTAGAACACATCCTAGAGAAAAATCAGTCACACATGAAAATCAGTCAGTGAGCGCGTGAAGCTTTTTTAGGCATCTGTAACACATAGCGCCATATTAAAAAACTAGCCCCGGTCAGAAAAAAATATAGATACGTGGCTGCCTTCTCTAATTTACCAAAGGTATATCGACCTACACCCCCATCCTGGCCAGACAGGTTGTGGAGGCCTGATGTTCTATGCCGGAAGCTCATATCCTCAACGGACGGACGTAGGTGCATTGAAAATGAAAATACTGAAATACCTTTGGTTGAAGTTTATACGTGAACTAGTTTATGCTGGAGTTTATTGACCTTTAACTATACCTAAGAGCGTTGCTCCTTTTTCAACAATTTGGAAAAAAATATCCTTTTTACATTCTCGTCTCTATGTAACTTCATCACGTTGATTTATTTAAGTAAGTTTCTAAAGTAGCTAGCTTTTACCTTACTAGGTACAATACTCAAGAAAAGTTTGAAGTGTGTATTTCAAATATTTACTTTTACCATATCAAATCACACAGGTAGAATCTAAAATACTACAAATAATTGCAAATAACTAATTGTTTTATTTTAGTAAAAATGCAAAACGCTATGTCGCCAAAACTTTCATTTTCCATGATAGCAAGAGTCTCAATTGATTCAGTTGGCTTAGTCCCAAAGGTTAAGCTTTGCCCTTGGACCTTGAATTTTAATATTTAACTTAGCCCGTGGTGTGACTTCATAAAACCACAGAATAATAATAAGTTGATAAAACTTAAAAAATATATATTTTTGTACTTTGTAGTGCACAATATAATATTCCCGCTAACCCCTTTTTAGGGTTCCGTAGTCCTGACAAGGAACCCTAATAGTTTCAATATGTCTGTCTGTCTTTTGATTGGAAACCGTTGGCACTAGGGAGCTGTAATTTTGTAGAGGTATATATATTAATCACGTCGACAAAAGGGTAGAATAAAATTTTGAAAAAAAAAATTCTTCTCTTCTTCTCAGTCGGTAAACTCTTGTCAGAGTGGTCGTGGTCATCATTGTGAATCACGGTGAGTGATGTTCCTCGCAATACGGCGACATTCCTCGCGGACTACAGCTTTCCGGGCACTTTCGCTTACCGAACACTTACGTCCGTATTCACAAACGATGCTTGCTTAAGTGAAGCAGCAAATCGAACGCACAGCATTGAATAGAGCTCTGTAATTGGTTCATAAGTCACCCTGTGCGTCCACGCACACTGTGAGACCTGATAGTATTGTTTGTGAATACGGGCGTTAGTTGCTAAGTTAACCCCATCAGCTAAGCTTAATTAGGTAGCTAGCCTTTACTCAGATTTTTAATTAGACGGAATTTTGACATTTCAGAAGTGTTACCAATATTCCCACTAAGAATGGAGAGCATTTTCACAAATTAAAAAATAACCCTTTCTTGAATTTAAGGTTTCACTTGAAAAACTAAGGCTTAAAAATGTACTGATCATTTGAAAATGGTTATTTGAATTTTTATTATCATATTTTTGAAGTTACAAAAAAAAATTGGGAAATTATTTTTCTATTACTGGACTCCCTGGCCAATAATCCATGGGTTACAAACCTTTTTTATGAAAATCATTTTGTTAATAAAATCTTAGCTTCATAAAATAAAAAATTTAACAAGATGCCAATTTTATAATCCAAGTTGATTATAATGATGATTGATGATCAATACATATTTTCGTTTATGATAATTATGTTGTTTTACTGTGTTAAAAACACGTTTTTTTCTATTTAATCTCTAAAATGTACATAATAATTAGTATACATTGAATTCACAAAACAAACAATAGTTCATTCTTGTAAGTTGTACTTGATGAAATTTCATTTCATATTATTTATTAATAATTCAATGCAAAAAAGGCTTATTACATCTGAATTGTCAAAAAATGACAGCTGTCAGAATTCCGTCGAATTAAAAATCGGACTTTAGTTAGGATTGATTCATCACAATAGTCCAAAGATTGACGGAGACCATAACACTGATACTATACGATGCGAATCCGATCCGATAAATAATTTGCGAGTATTTTATTGTACACGACTAACGACCGTATTCACAAACGATGCTTGCTTAAGTGAAGCGGCAAATCGACCGCACAGCGTTGCATAGAGCTCTGTGATTGGTTCGTCCCTGTGCGACCACGCGCACTGTGAGACCTCATAGTAATGTTTGTGAATACAGGCGTTATATGTTGTATCAAATCACTATATCATATAATTTCATAACCGACCTGTATATTCTTCAAGTATGAAACTCATCTGCATAAGAGTTCATTCTAGCAAATAACGCAATCTTCTCCATTCCATACCAAGAATATTTAATTAAGGTGACAATAAACCACAACACTTCGCGTTAATAATAGTTATACAGGGTGTTTGTTCGAAGTTACGTATCTTATTTTAATTAATTACTTTCCACACAGATCATAAAATGTTTATTATTATTAGATTACTCTTAGGCTGAGTTGCACCACCTAACTTTAACGGTAACTAATAACGATAACCGGTGCTTTTTGTATAGAGTTTGACAGATTTTTGACGTTTGTCTAAGTTAACCGAAGATGGTGCAACTCGGCCTAAGAATTGCATTATCTAGTCTAGAAAATGCACACCTAAGTCGCCTAGGTCTAAGAGCAAGCTTTATTTGATTGAAATTTTTTAATGAATCCTAAACCGAGTTAAATCAATATCCTATAGTGAATATTATTGCCATAGCTTCAAATGTAAATTACCACAACTTATAATACTTACAAAATTACATAACCTATTTCTCTCATAATATCTGTGCCATTTTATACACCCTGTATAATGCTAGGAAAATGCACCTGAGTCGTTAATAGCCTTAAGAGCGAGCGAGAATTAACTGTCGCCTCTTCGGCGCGTTTCATCCAATTTTCTTTATCACAGTTCTCAAATTATAGCAATTATCCCATAAGTGATCTAATTTGTAACAGAACGAGTGAGGAACGAAATAAAATTAGAAAGAGCCCGCTTTAAATACAGGGTGTAAGTAAATACGTGCAAGAACTTAATCACATTTAGGTCTCTAGTAAAAAAATAGATGTATCCGGAGCACAAATAAATGTCGTTCTCGTTATGGTTGTATTCGGAATATGATACTCTACTTATACGACACAACTATTAACTTTCTTGCCACAAGTGCGAAACAATACTGACTTATAACAACGAGATACAGCTTGTATGAAGTACAGTCGTCAAAATATCAAGCTAAATGGTTGCAATTGAATAGGTGCGATTTTGCGATAGAAACGTACTAGCTGTGACCGCTATCAAAGCAGTAGTTCCTGAGATTAACAAACTCTTCGGCTTAAACTATAAGTACTTATAGAAGTACAGATTATTGGATGTGCTGTCGATAGTACATAGAAAAAATATTAGATTAATATTAGATCGTTACCTATGACAATGACACCGCAGCAGCCTGAGAAAAGCTCCTCTGAAGGTTCGGTTGAACACAGTATAGATGATGGGGTTGATGGTAGACGACACGTAGCCCAGCCACAGGCAGATATCCACTACGTGTTCTGTTGACAAAGGTATAAAATTTTAGTTACTTATATACAAACCACGCGTGGAGATTATGGCAAAACCCTCCACTAATAGTGGAGGAGGCTCATAGTCCAGCAGTGGACTGTAAAGGGCTGTTGATGATGATGATGATATACAAACGTTATTTTAAACTAGCTTTCCGCCCGCGGTTTCGCCCGCGTGGAATTTTGTCTGTCACAGAAAAACTTTATCGCGCGCGTCCCTGTTTCAAAAACCGGGATAAAAACTATCCTATGTCCTTTCCCGGGATTCAAACTATCTCTATGCCAAATTTCATCAAAATCGGTTCAGTGGTTTAGGCGTGAAAGCGAGACAGACAGACAGACAGACCGACAGACAGACAGTTACTTTCGCATTTATAATATTAGTATAGAGTATAGATAAACGTCAAATAGCCCAATGGCGTTGGAGTTGGACTGGCGGAATCGAGATCCGAGACACGCGGGTCTAAACACCTCCACCGCTGGACTATTGTGGTGAACTACACGTATTACAACCATATTTAGCTTACCACGGGGGTTAATATTTGTACTTAATTCTTTAAGTTATTCAGAACCACTAGATTGTCCTAAATGTAGGACAACTGTCAAACGCTTTGGGTATCCACCCAATGAAAGATTTAAAATTGGTGTGAAACCCAATGAAAACGAAATTCCATATCCCATTTTCGTAGCCATATGTCACGCATTCCCATAGAATAGCGACCTATCACGGCTATGTAAATGACACAGACCATTGATACGATAGACAGAATAGGACAGTTAGACGTAACACATTGAAAAGTTTTTATTTCAATAATGAACACTTGTTTGTAGTGACGTTTAGTATGGAAATGTCACTTTAAAACCATGTTCAACAAAGACTGAAACTTTTTATTAGTAAGGGGATTAAAATCTACATTTAAAAACGATGACTAAAACTTGATAATTTTGTTGGACGTGATTGAATCTGAAATCTCGTAAGATAATAAATTAAGGGTGTGTAGTTCTATTATAGCAGCCTTGGCTTTTTGACGAAAGTAAACGCATACATTTATGTGGCTTCTAATACCCAATTGTTCTGCGATATGAACGAATCATGTTATTATTCATACTGCTATTTTTCTTTGGATTAAATCCGTTTCGGTTTCCAAAACGGATAAATTTCCCAAGAGGTTCCGAGCTCGAGCATGATTGGCTGGCAAAGCAATTTTGAATCGTTCTATGGCAGCCCAATACCTAGCCCAGAACTTAGCATAAGTCTGAAATTAGGTACCTACACTGTTTTACATTCGTTAGTTTTGATTGTAAAATTGTGGCTAAAATTACAACACCTTCTTAATCAACCTAACACTTCATAAGATTAATTGAAAAAAAACTGAACACCACATAAAGATGCATAAATTATAACTACCTGAAAAGTATACCTAAAAATAAAGATTCGTTGTCGACCAAGAAAGAGACCATATTTTCTCAATCTCAAATTGTAAAACTAACTATTTTGACGGGTAAAAAATCTGACAGATGGTTTCAGTAAGTAGGCTGTCAGAGAGTACAAGTCCAGCCTATAAAGGTTCGGCCAAACCAACGCGATCACACGCGATCAGCCGGCGTGCAACGATGGCGATCAATGTATTTTTTTTATCCACAACGAGGAAGCTCTTGGCCTGTATCTCACCTGATGGTAAGTGATGATCAGGTCGAAGGTGGAAGCGAGCTTCACCCGTATTTAAGTCGGGTCGCCATCGCTGCACGCCCGCTAATCGCGTTGGTTTGGCCGAACGTTAACTGAATCTGTACCTGAGATATGGGAGCGGCACGAGAGGTTGTTTTTGTATTATCAAACGTCAGCGAGCCTTCTGATGTGATCAGACTTGTATGCTCTTTCACGAACACCCCTCCCCGTGCCGCTCCCAGTGAGACCAGTATGTATAATCATAATCATAATAATCATAATCATTTATTTGCAATTAAACATCCCAACTAATATTATAAATGCGAAAGTAACTCTGTCTGTCTGTCTGTCTGTCTGTCTGTCTGTTACGCTTTCCCGCTTTAACCTCGCAACCGATTTTGATGAAAGGACAATGACCAAAAATGTATGGAGTGTGGTCCAAATGTCCACCACTAACGAGACCTATGTAGTTAAATAGTCTACCAAATACTGATTCATTATAACCAAACCGCAATCAAAAATATGCTGTCAGCAAAAAGTTATGACTGAATAAAAAGTCTGTTTTTTACCTTTTCATCAGAAAAATGTTCTTGATATCATTCTATCCATTGCACATTTTGGACTATTAAAGGCATGTTATGTCATGTCGCATGTGGCGCGGGTTTATAGATGAATTTTATTTTATTAAATATTATACTAGCTGTGCCTACGACTTTGTACGCGTGAAAATAGTTGTCTTTACTGCTCTGCCCCTATTGGTTGTAGGGTGATGTTATTAATATAACTTGTAGATTGATATAATGGGCTATCCATAACCAAAATATTTTTTCAAATCGGACCAGTAGTTCTTGAGATTAGCGCGTAAACTACTACAATTTTTCAAACAGTCTTAACTTTTTACTGACAGCTTATTGTTTTTTCGTCCCATACTGAAAGTTAATCTCTATTTAATGGACTATAAGCCAATATAGGTCTCATTAGTGGTGGACATTTGGACCACTTTTGGTCATTGTCCTTTGGCATAGATATAGTTTGAGTCCCGGGAAAGAACATAGGATAGTTTTTATCTCGGTTTTTGAAACAGGGACGCGCGCGATAAAGTTTTTCTGTGACAGACAAAATTCCACGCGGGCGAAGCCGCGGGCGGAAAGCTAGTGTTATATAAAGATGTCAAGTACAGACGATACATGTTAAGCTAAAATTATTAGCATGCAAAAGTTAAATTAGAAATACCACAATATTAGCGACGATTCTTAAGAAGAAAAAAACTACAGCAAGTCAAAGAACTCTTTTAAATCGTAAAGTGTCAGTGATAGCAACCATTTACTCAAATGTTTCTTAAAATTACAAATACTTGATGTCCAAAAATTCTTTAGGTAAAATCTTTACCTGGAACTATACAAGCAGGACACGAGGCGAACAGAATGTTGAGCAAGAAGAAAGGCGCCCAGCAAAGCACAAAGGTGAAGAACACCAGGCCCAGGACTTTGGTCGCTTTCTGCTCGTTGGCCACAGCGTTGGCCGACAGCGAGCGCCCCTTCTTGCGATTGGCTAGAAACCTGTCGAAATAACAACCATTGTTACTTCGATAGTGAGTGGAGTGGAAGTTAATAAATGAAAAGAGTGGACTGTATGAAAATAATTGTCTATTCGGTATAAATTTACAAGATTATCGAGACCGTTTAGTGCAAGGTCGTTGAAGAGAGTGCGTCAGGATCGTCTTCTTAGATGTTCGCTCGCGAACCGAACATTGCTCGTTCGTTCGCCGAACGCTCGCCGCTCCCTCCGGTCACGCCGCCCGCGGGCAATGTCCGTGACTAGACAACCATGTTCCTCAAAAAGTTTTTGAAACAGGCTCTAACAGGCTGTTTCAAAAAGTTTCAAAACCGACTACGGAAATAAAATCGTTTCTATTGACTCGTTTGGTAAAGTGTGCGTTCACCTTAAGATGCAAAATCATTCCATTGGGAAATCAAAACTTCGTACATTAGTACATCATTACAACATTAGTCTTATTAAGACATCGATCAATGTAGCAATCGATCAATAATTTTCGTTAAAATTAAACTCGCTTAAAGAGATCGTTGTTTATAGTTTGTCGTTAAATATTTATTATTTTATGGCAATTGAAAAGATTTTAAAAACACCTTTGCAGTTGCGAGGCCTCAACATTGTAGGTTAAAATTCAGAATGCACACAGACAGTTCCACAAGTTCGAAATCAGATACGACAGCTCGCTCNCAACAAAGTCTGAAACTTTTTATTAGTAAGGGGATTAAAATCTACATTTAAAAACGATGACTACAACTTGATAATTTTGTTGGACGTGATTGAATCTGAAATCTCGTAAGATAATAAATTAAGGGTGTGTAGTTCTATCATAGCAGCCTTGGCTTTTTGACGAAAGTAAACGCATACATTTATGTGGCTTCTAATACCCAATTGCTCTGCGATATGAACGAATCATGTTATTATTCATACTATTTTTCTTTGGATTAAATCCGTTTCGATTTCCAAAACGGATAAATTTCCCAAGAGGTTCCGAGCTCGAGCATGATTGGCTGGCAAAGCAATTTTGAATCGTTCTATGGCAGCCTAATACCTAGCCCAGAACTTGGTATAAGTCTGAAATTACATAAACTGCTTTAGATTCGTTAAGTTTTGATTGTAAAATTGTGGTTAAAATTACTGTTACTCATAACAACACCTTTTTTATAAATTTAACATTTCGCAAGATTATGTAATTGAAAAAAAAACTGAATACTTTACAAGAAAATGCATAAGTTTTAAGTACCTAAAAAGTGTAGTAGATTTATTCTTGACCTAGCAAGAGACCAATTTCTCAATGTGTTTATATACTTACTTAGTTACCTGTCAGATAATTTAAGTAGTCTATTAGGAACTCCAAAACATACTGATTACTATGGTATAACTGAGTCAGTGTTTGAGCTCCCCACTAAGCGTGCTGGGTCCCGCCGTGTAGGGCGGGACGACCGCGGAAGGCGCATTGGTCGTTTCTAGTACCCAAGGCGCCAACCACTATGCGGCAGAGAGAACAAACACCAGGTTTTTAATGGGAACCTGCCGACCCCCAAGGTAGGAAAAGTCAGTGTTTGAGGTTTAGGAGCGACGTGGGTCGTCAAAAGTCAGCGAGGCTTCTGATGTGCATCAGACTTGTATGCTCTTTCGCTACATATAACACCCCTCCCCGTGCCGCTCCCATACCTTGACTCAGTAATGCGCTAGAGTCCTCTAGTGAGACTAGTGTGTATAAAACCTTTACCTGGAACTATACAAGCAGGACACGAGGCGAACAGCATGTTGAGCAGGAAGAAAGGCGCCCAGCACAGCACGAAGGTGAAGAACACCAGGCCCAGGACTTTGGTCGCTTTCTGCTCGTTGGCCACAGCGTTGGCCGACAGTGAGCGCCCCTTCTTGCGATTGGCTAGAAACCTGTCGAAATAACAACCATTGTTACTTCGATAGTGAGTGGAGTGGAAGTTAATAAATGAAAAGAGTGGACTGTATGAAAATAATTGTCTATTCGGTATAAATTTACAAGATTATCGAGACCGTTTAGTGCAAGGTCGTTGAAGAGAGTGCGTCAGGATCGTCTTCTTCGATGTTCGCTCGCGAACCGAACATTGCTCGTTCGTTCGTCGAACGCTCGCCGCTCCCTCCGGTCACGCCGCCCGCGGGCAATGTCCGTGAGTAGACAACCATGTTCCTCAAAAAGTTTTCGAAACAGGCTCTAACAGGCTGTTTCAAAAAGTTTCAAAACCGACTACGGAAATAAAATCGTTTCTATTGACTCGTTTGGTAAAGTGTGCGTTCACCTTAAGATGCAAAATCATTCCATTGGGGAATCGAAACTTTCTACTTATAAGGCATCGATCAATGTAGCAATCGATCAATAGTTTTAATAAAAATTAAACCCTCTTAGAGCGATAGTTTTTATCTATGTTTTAATTTTGATGTAAATGCTTATTAATGAGTATCTCAATTGAAAAGATTTTAAAAACACTCTTGCAGTTGCGAGGCCCGAACATTGTAGGTTAAAATTCAGAATGCACACAGACAGTTCCACAAGTTCGAAATCAGATACGACAGCTCGCTTCACAGCTCACATGTTTTTCACGCCCCAATTCACGTTCCACACTCACAACAATTTAATTTTCAGCCATACGTGTTACGTCACTACACTCACAGCAACTCACAAACTAGCGACATACGCCCGTATACACAAACATTACTATGGTGGGGTCTCACAGTGCCTGTGGATGCATAGGGTGACACAAGAACCAATCACAGAGCTCTATTAAATGCTGTTCATTCGATTTGCTGCTTCACTTAAGCAAGCATCATTTGTGAATACGGGCGATAATTTCGCCCACATCAAGGGAAATCTAAGACAAAAAAGTATCTAATTTCTAGTACATCCTTGTCAAGAATTTACATAACCAAGACATCCGAGTTAAATTATTCCCCATGCATATTTTAGCCTCTCTCTAATTCAAACGCGCACGTCACACATTATTGTCTATAGCAGTAATTGCCTCGTTAAAATTCTGAACGTGTGGAGTTCAATTTGACAGCCTGATGAATAACAAAACTGTACAGAATGAATATTGTCATGTCAGCGAATTTTCAAGCTTAGGGCTTGGGCACACGGCGCTGCCACCCCCTGGGTATTTTCATCAAACTGCCTACAAAGCGAAATGCCTACCGGGACAAAATTGACTAGTTAAATACTGATAGTATTTTGTGCTGATAGGTAGGTAGGAGTACGGACATTCCGAGCCTGGGAAATATGATACTACACTAGATTTCTGGTTTTAGGTAGATAGTCCTTAAAACAAAGTGTAAGATAGAATTCCCATATACAAAGTCGTACAGATAAGGGCCCTTTCCCGCGTCAATCCACTTGTGTGTTCACACGGCAGTATCCCGTTTTAGCAGGTACGGTGTTTTGCGGTACGGTTGTTTGCAAATAAATATACAGAAAGTTTATCAGACATATTCCCATTAGCAAATGGGAATACGTCTGATAAACAATGCTTGTAATAAACTCGCGGTTCACAGCTCGCGAAAGTCGATGACAGCTCGCGAAACGCGATGACAGCTAGCGGAAGGCGATGACAGCTCGCGAAAGGCGATACGGTGTTGATCCCTTTACAAGTTGTTGAGTCTGCTATGACCATTACCTTGACCTTCTATCAACATACCTTAGTGTTAAAGCATTCGGTGTGGCCAGGGTCAATTTCAGTGGCCTGAGCCTCGCTCGCCTGGTCTCTGCCGCTATGCTGGGAGGGGTCTGAGTTGCCACATCCTTCCCCCTCCGGGAATTAGACCCCGCACCCCCGCAGCCGTTCATATAGCTCAGCTGAGGGTGGGAGACGCTCACGCCGATTTTGTTTCTTTGTGTCCTGCTGGATAAAAAATGCAACATGTCTTTTAATAATAAGAAACGGGCACAATAACTTGAAATAGTAACGGGACCTATACCTTGTTTCCACTCTTTTAACTTCTGCAAGATATAGATCCTGAATCTGCAGCATGGCCGTCAATAAAAACCCAAGCAATGGGAAATTAGATTCCCCAAATTCAGATTCATCTCATATGCGACGATTTCTTTGGGCACTGCTTTGGTCCTTCATCATCATCATCATTTCAGCCATAGGACGTCCATTGCTGAAAAGCCCAATGATCCTGATTCCAGATAGGCCGGTTGGTAGCGACCTGCATCCCGTGCCTTCCAGCCTGCTTAATGTAGGCATCTGTCCACCTTATAGGTGGACGCTCTACGCTGCGCTTGCCAGCACTTTCTCGGTTTTGGTCTTTAATTCAAGGCAATTAGGTTCAAAAACAGTAGTACCTTGTTGCACTAGTGACCCGCCAGGTCAGCTGTCTCGAGACTGATGTCCCAGGAGACAGATCGGGAGAACTCCTGGCCCCAACCCTTCGGAAGCCTTGCATGGGCATGTTGTCGAACCCTCCGCATTGCCTGAGAACAAAAATATCAGATTAGTAATACGTTTAACTTTATTTTGTACATTCGATCCACAAAGCTGATTACAGCTTGCACACCAACGTATTCATTTATTGTAGGTACTCAACAATTAAAATTATTTGATTTAGCTTTTGCTTTATAATTTTAATGACGAAGTTAACTTACCGCTGCGTACTTATTTAGATTTCTTGTGGTCAAAAAGACAAAACATAATTTTACACAAGTGTAGGTATTTAAAATATTCTTTGCTTCGTTTCAACTACAGGCCACTCAGTCATTTTTTTAAGTGTGATAAATTAGAAAATAAATGCTCATTTATTTCGCTGCTATCCCAATTCCTCTTGAAGGTGACTTTCTATTGAAAAAATAGAGATTTCTTAAAACTTTTTCGTTTACTAGAGCATTGAAAACAGACCATAAATAAAATCGCAGATAAGTATTGTTTATTGAATCTCTTTAGTCTCAGAATTGGCATAGATCCTTGAGGGATTCCCGGGACAATCCATTTTTAAGCCCCTTCGGAAAATGACCCTTTTGCAAAGCTCAGACGTAACACAATTGCGTTGAAGTTAGAAGGCTCGTTGCATTCAGATGACGTCACAGCAAGCTTAACACTGAGGCCTCTTATGAACTTGTAATAAGGATGATTTTTCAACAAAAATGTATAGTCTCATGTGCTATAATTTCTACTCGTACTTCAATATCCTCAAGAAAGCGTCAACGTTTACAGCCGAGTGGGCTACCAACCATTCCTTGGGAGAGGCCTTTGTCCAATAGTAAATGTCTTTCGATTGGAATTTACCAACCAAAATTATCAGCAGTCAAAAGATTGCTGGCTGACCCGATGAACTTCATACCGCCTATATTCATCAGAAATAAATTCTAATTTTCTTATTTTCCAAATCGGTCCAGGGGTTTCGGAGCCTATTCAATACAAACAATCAAATTTCTCTCTTTATAATATTAGTTTAGATGGGTATTTGATACGTACGTACACTTGATAACACCTACCTCGCGCCGGTATCTGCAATAAGTAAAAAAAAATGGCCCACGATTTTGGTTCATTTAAAAAATTCAGTTCCTACCGCCATGCCCCCTATTGTGGTATACCCTTCCAACACATTACATTACAGTACATTGTAAATTGGAATCCTGTACTTATAGCCGATTAGGTTGTGCAATTTGTCCCGTCTTGAAGAAGAAATTGTTTTTAAGATTTACAGGGTAGGGTACGGAAAATGGAAGCCGTAGCTTGCCTGCGGAACGATAAACAAATAAAAATCCTTTAACATTTTTACACTGCGCCTCTAGCCCCGAACTAAGCAAAGCTTTACTATGGATAGCAGACAACGGATTTGAATATACTTAAATGCTTTATTTTTTTGTAAATACAAAGGTACATATAGGTACAGAGTAACGCCTTAGTAACTTGCCAATACAGACAAATGCGTTCATGCATATAAAATGATTTTGTGGGAATCGAACCCACGACTCCTGGCATTGCAGACCGGGTACTTGAACCACTACACCAAACAGTCGTGAATAAAAATAAAGAGTAGCATCTGGAATAACCTAAAATAATTATAATGACTTTGAATATTTTTTGCGCCATCTAGTCAAACTTAGAAAATACGCAAAAATTTCTAATCTAATATTTATGTAGGTACATCTAAATTCATCATCATCATCAATACATAGCATCTAAATTCATCATCATCTCAGCCATAGGATGTCCACCGCTGACCATCGCCTCCCCCAATGCTTTCCATGTTGCCCGGTTGGTAGCGGCCTGTTCCTGCTACCTTTACGATATCTTCGGTTCACCTTGTCGTTAGCCGATGGGGGCAGCAAGTTTCTGGAGGTGGACCAACTGACTAAATAACTAAATTATTTCATACAATCTCTGGAGCTCAATACCAATCCCCCCTTACGTCTATAACCTTGATATTAAATCCTGATACCTCGCACCATAATATCTGCTGACAATAAACCATTATGATATGACAAGATATAAAATACGGGAGATAGCCGATAAACTACACAAACACGTTGAGAACCTAACTGAATTATCTATAACGAGCAGATATAAGATATAGTATAGCAAGAAAAACCAGTACAGAACAAACAACATAATGTAGTGTAGTATACTACTTATTAGAACTTCTCGTTTTAGCCAAGTGACGTCCACTGTTGGACAAAGGTCAAGCGATCGGCCTTGCCCGCATATAGACCTTTAGATTCTCAAAATAATCATATTTATATGTAGGTATGCCTACTTACTACAAAAAAGTTGGTGATAAGTAATACAGTATGATAGAGGCGACAAAAGTTCAACAGAGTCGGTACCGGAGTCTCGATTCAATGATTGCTTCCATCATCCATCAACAGCACTTTACAGTCCACTGCTGGGCTATGAGCCTCCTCCACTATACTGCCGTGCTAGCGGTATCAGCAATAACTCAATTTTTTGGCAAAACTATAATGAGCTCTATTTCAATGAGCTGACGGGAGCTTTTTTAAAAGCAAAATATTGAAGTTACTGCTAATATCACTAGCACGGTAGGATAGGACTACGATTTTGCCATAATCCCCAGCTTCATCCCTCGCTTGGCAGGCGGGTTAGAGATCGCAGTTTAAGAGATTGATGTTTTCAGAGGGCGGCTGCTGCCCGTTCTCTGTTTGATGTGTAGTCGCCTCTTTCGACACCCGGGTAAGAGTAGGGATTGATCACCACACGGCTTATGATTGCTTATGCGGGGACATATTAGCTGGAGGAGATAACAAGAATGTTGGTACTTTGAAATATGGTTTATTAGATTTGTTTTCACATGATATTAACCAGCTTAATTGTACTACATTGAAGTGTACTGTCTGTTCTCTTCTGACTTAACTCTAGTGCCGTATAATCGGCTATAAAACCCTAATGTAATTGTTTGGCTGGAACTAGTGACCAATTTACGATGAGTTTACTATTCGTGGTCTATAAATTAGTAACGGCTTTTGTTTATTAGATTAATTCTCATTGTTATGTGGTTTACAATTTAAAGACTGTATTTGCATTGGTAATTTAACGTGTTCATTACGGTAGAGCACTAAAAACAGTACAACAGTAATTGGGGCACACTGACAACTAGCGTCGTGGCCTTCCTCACCGTGGGCCACGGCATACGCTGAGTGGGATCCCATTACGATGGGCATCGCTGTTGCGACAGTTGCACTACTCAGTTCACTTTTTATTTCCTATTTACTATGTAATGGTCTGGTCTTCCTAATATAAATAAATAATAATAATAATAATATTTATGTGCTATTTCTGCTCAGTTCACTTTTTATTTCCTTGTAATATTTATGTGCTATCTTTCCTTTTTTTCCGTAAACCTTCTTTGTCCTTAACTACGTGATGTTCATCGTAAATGTTTCTTTCTTTCAACTTTCTTATACCGGGTGTCAACAGTAAAACCGAATTAATGGAGAGCTTTTTCAGAAATTAAAACAATATTAGTCACAATGCTCTAATAAATACATTAGTCAGATGATGATGATGATGATGATGATCCATCCGACCGATTTCGGCCATGGCGACCACTCCGACTCCTAGCTGTCTTGGCGGCGATGGTGTGTCCGAAGATGGCTTACGTCAGTCAGAATCAGTCATCAAATTAAATAGAGATAAGGATTTGTTTCATCATCATTTCAGTTATAGGATAATCACTGAAAATAGGTCTCTAGCAATGATTTCCAGATTGGCCTTTTGGAAGTGTCTTGCATCCAGCGGATTTCTATAAGAAGCTTTTGAAGGATAAATCTTTACAGCCAGTAGGGACAAAAGGATTCAAACCAGTTAACGATCAAGTATTGTATACCGAGACGCGAACCACAAGGTATTTTGTGTCCATCCTAAGGGCTGATGAAGCAGTTGCTTCATATTTGACAATGGTTGTCATAATAAAACAACATTGGTATGGATTCCACTTCACAAGCTCATAAGGTAGCTTAAACAAGAACATTAAGGGTATTTTATTACACCACTAACTATCTACTGACCGCGTTCCGATATGCAGTTAATGATTTATGTCGTCTAATGGCTTGGTAGATTAACATTGTGGTTGTTAAATATGATAGTAGACTGCACACCCGGTATTTCAGTTCAAACGGACGCGAGCATATCGAGTTTAACACTGGCATCTTCTTCTTAAAAAGCGCTTAAACACGTCCCAGCTCTATCATCATGACATCATTCTTATAGGTCCTTTTTTGCAAGTAAATGAATTTGATGTGTTGTCTGTCAGAAGAAACAATTTGTAGATGGTTTTACATCTTTAAGCCAACGTAGGACGTCCACCGACAAGGTGGACCGACCTCATAGAGGTAGCTGGAAGGCACTGGATGCGGGCCGCTACCAATCGGTCATTATGGAATTCATTGGGGAAGGCCTATGGACTTCTTATGGCTGAAATGATGTTGCTGATGATGATGAAACCATCATAAAGACTTGTAAACCAGTCTAAGGCCCGGTTTCTACCAAGGCAAGGAGAGAAGATTGTGTTTGGATAACCGAACCGAAGCTGAGCGGAGAGGCGATACGGAAATAACGAAATCGGATTGGTTATAAATCACCTTTGTAGTCTAGTGGTAAGACCACCTGCTTCAGACGCAGAGGTCCCGGGTTCGATTCCTGCCTGTGGGGGCAGATTTTTCTGTGCGGTTTGGTTGGTGGTAGGGCTTGTTCTAAGTCCGCCTGGCTAGCTACCACCATCTTACCTAAGTCTGTCGCCATAACAACAATGTCAACAGCATTATTGTGTTCCGGCAGTTAGAGGTAAGATAGGCAGTTCCTCCGTGGTTGAGGATTCCGGGTGAAGCTCGCTTCCATCAGGTGAGATACAGGCCAAGAGCTTCCTCGTTGCGGAAAAAATATATATTCAAATACATCTGCTCACCGCTTTGGTGGAAACCCCACCTGAAAGTTACTAGTGTGTTATAGTCCTAAATGA